GATCCTAGATTTCTTCACTTTTTGTTCAACACATATGCAAGATCAGCATGTCCCTACCATCAGCAGCTGTCCATCGAGGCACCAAAGCTTCTTACTTTCGTACTCCTATTCCCCCAATATGTCACTATACAGAACTAAATGTTATATTGTAGGTTAAGTGGTAGACCTACTGTCCTACTACCGCATGTTCCAACCAACATTTCGGTGGTTCTTGGTCTGTGTTCACTGGAATATTTACATCTGTTGGACACGGTGTGTATATTCGCGCGGGGGGTTACCTGCTAGTTGAACAACGGTACACGGTGATCTAATGAACAGTCCCGATACTGTATGAACAGTACTACATTTTTTTTTACCGAGCCGGTTTTATTAATATAAAAGAAAATACAAACAAATAACATAACCCTAAGAGGCTATCTACAGTAAGACCTTCAGTAAGACCTTGTTTGGATGCACATGTATTAATCTCAATTCACATGTATTGAAGTGGATTGTAGTGGAATTAAACTAAGTTCTATTCCAATCCACTTCAAAGTGGATACACATGTTTCCCAATAAGGCCTAAAAAGGAAAAATAATGTCGAACAATTGTGTATGTGGATAGCTAGAAAGACTTTCTGAAGATCCAAACATAGCTATAAGTGCTAGTTCTATAGGGATCTTCTAGATTCAATGAGAAGACATTTGCATCCAAACTCACTCTCTCTCGAATCACATCAAGGGTTCTACAGTATCATATAATTTCTATTAGAACTTGGAAAAAGCAGTCTCTTTTCGAGTTTTTATCCTCATTCAGAAAAAGTGACATCTGCATTCCGAAACCAGTAGCTTGAGATGGACAACACGTTATTCTTGCGTTTAACATGCCCGTACGATTGTGCGCTTCCTAGACAAGATTATTCTGTCCTTGCATCTTCTGCACCATTCAAGATGATGCAACTGAACTGCGCTTTAAAAGAGATGAAAGCGAGTACAAAAGATCATGCAATCTAAAAATAAGGATGCAATGTTCACTGTCCAAGATTGGTGTTTTCTTAGAACAACTTTTTTTTGTTCGTCTGGACTTGTAGAAAACCATTCTTGAACATATGAAGTGCAATAGTATTTTACACCCAATGTACAGGTAGTTCATTGTGAACTTTGCTGACTGAATGAGAAGTTGGAAACTGAACAGGATATAAAGTGGTCTTATCAATTATTTGATTTATTAGGCTGCTGTAAACTCATAATTCAAACTTGTTTGGTATCGCTAAGCTGAAGAGTCCAGCTATTGAGAATATACAAGCATTTTTTTCAAAACAATGCCAGCAGTCAGTTACCAGTACAAGTAAAGTTCAATGTCAAATACATCCTTCAATACAATAAGTTCTGCAGAAAGCATGCATATATTCCCCTTCTCATCACTGACTAAACTTGATAAGAAAATGGGACAAACTTGGCAATATGTACAAACAAATCGCATAGAGAAGATAAACAAGAGAGCACATGCATGACAAGATCAGCAACAGCAAGTCCAAGTCCTCCATACCACAAAAATAATGGACCAAGTACTAATAACAGGCTTATATCATTTATTAAATTGGGGGCACTAGTATGCATAAATTAATTTATCAAATTGGGAGCACCATTATGCATATATAACTTACGCATTTTAACTAACACATATTGGAGATTACTCCATAACTAATTGAATGGGAGTTGCTGATCAAGCACAGAACATCATTATTAGCAATCAGCTCAAGGATGTTATTATTAGCAATCCTTCAATCTTGTTCTTGGTCATCCTCATCCCATTTACAAGCTCATATAGTGGCTACCTTGTTCGACAGTATCTTCAAAGTCCATGGTTTCCAGCTGCAATTTTCACTGATAATTACAGAACATTTACCAGCCCCCTTGGACTTATCTGTTCTCTGCCTTGAAGGTATCTCTGCAAATGGGTTCAGCCCACCATCCGCAATCTGGTGGCAAAGTAGAAAGAGTTAACTAGTGCCTTGAGAATTACTTGCACTGCATGACATTACATGAACACAAGAAATGGTTCCCCTGGCTGGCTATGGCTGAATGCTGGTACAACATAATTTACTATACCACTATCAAGATGACACCATTTCAGGCAGTACCACCCTCCACGAGTCAATGAGTTTAGACTCCCTGCAAACATCTCTGACGATGCCAAGGCTACTATGAAGGAAAAACAAACTATGCTCAAATCTATGAAAGACACTCTTCGGCAAGCTCATGATATGGTGAAGCACTTTGCTGATAGGAACAGATCTAAGAATTTGTCATGGCAGAAATGGTTTATCTTAAAATGCAGCCTTACCATAAGCATGCACTGGGCAAAAGGAACAAAAATCATAAACAAAGATTATTTTAGCAATTATTCAAATAAGTGTTTACCATTGTAAGAGAGAAATATCATGTGCTACAAGCCTACAACATAGCAAGCCACAGCTATGATATCAATTCTGAATTTACTCCCAAATGACTGCGAGCCATTCATTTAATTAAATCGGATGGTTAGTATCATCTATTACTTCTTAGGAGGTAACAGATGAAACATATATTTATTTAGTCTTTTATTTTGTAATAAAGTAGGATAAATAAGGAAAGTTTTAGATATAAAAATCTTTTTCCTAGATCTAATTGATGCATCTATTATCTGTTGAAGGAGGTAAATCTTTTACATGTAATGTAACGTGTTTTTGTTCCCAACCTCCATGTTAGCTGCCGATTTTTTTTATGCATGTACCCTGTTTTTATAATCGAGTATGTAACCTGTAAGTATGTCTAGAAGGTGCAGCAAACATATTATCATTGGACGAGTAGCAGAGATCAAATCATTGACATGAAATGGATCATCAACTGATTCTTTGTAATGCTATAAAGTGCTCACAGAATCTTCACGAGTTGGACCTCTGGAGATCATCACAACAATCCGATATTTTAGGGCCAGTGTGCATGAAGAAATGAAGGGTTGATTGCCTTTGTTCCGAGATTAGTTGGAGGAATTTTCTTTCCTTTTTATTAGGTTATTTATTTATTTCATAAAATCTGAATTATCAATGGCTCAGATTGTTTGAGCTATTACCTCTTAGTAAGTAATGGGAGTACCGTAGCATTGCCCTAAGAAGCATCCACCAGAAATACCTGAAAGAAGAGAATATTCAGTATGAACTAATGCATCTGCTGCAACACAAAAGATATTGTTCAGAAAAACATACCAGTATAAGATAAGCAAGTGGGTTGCAAGAAAACTCTATTTTACAACAAAAGAAGAGCAGCCATTATATGCGAAATGTATATGCTGATAGCAGGAAAACTATATATTACAAAATGAACTCAATCAGTCCCATTAGGTCACACAGCCATGAATTTTACAATAATAACATCTCATGATTATTTGGCATCTCTGAGAAGCTACATACTATAATAGCACCAGCAAGGAAACTCAATAAATAAATTTGTATTTGAAACACAAATTGCAGGAGATATCGGTAAACCTCAGAACATAAGGAAAGAGCCAGAGTGATCTAATGCAAACACCTGAACAAGGTTAAAATGAGGATATAATAGATGGAATGGCATCTCAACTGTGTAGCATGAATTACCCAAGACGTGCCACAATTGTCCCAAATTCCAGAGGCGGACCATGACCTAGGTGCTAGAACCTTAACTAGAAACTACAAGAATGATACAAAACTGAAAAGAAGACCAGCCAAAATTCTGAACTTAATATTATCCACAAGCACAGGAAAACACCAGAAAATAACTATAATAAATGATAACATTACTTCATCATGAATGATTGTCTAACGCAACACAAAATATCTAATAGGTAAGAGCATAACAGAATATGATGAAGCAAGTGGATTGCAATATTCAAATAATCAATGTATGTCATATATTTGTTCCCAAACAGGCAATGTATCTCAGTCATAATAAGATTGCAACACATGGCACATATGCCATTAAGAAAGTAAACCATGTAGAGGAAGGAATTCCTTTACAGTTCAATTTTCAAGAGTGGCAACAAACCCCCAAAGGGTCAAGCAAATGCAACAACAACAAAGAAAGCAACTAAAACAGCTAAAGACAATGGCTGGTTGGATTGAGATCTCAACTTTTTTTTTTTTTTTTTGACAACAGATTGAGATCTCAACTTGAACCACCTCCCAGTAACTCTTTTTAAGGTTTTATTGCTTGTTGCTCAGTTGTAAGGCCTAGTCTGGGTATTTTCTTCTTTTTAATATTGTCGGCAGCTCTTCTGCCTGATTCTAAAAAAACAAAAACAAAAACAAAACAAAACTACCTTGCACTACAAAAAAATCAAGTGGCAACAAGCACCTGATTGCAAATTGAAGACTGCATACAAAGTTAGAAACCCTGACCCAACATCACAGATGGATCTTGCCAATTTTATTGTGGTGCTATCAAGGCATACTTCAAGCTGTTTGGTGTTGATGCACTGAGATGAAAATTATAGAAATTCACAGACTATATTAAAACATTGTTGTTAAAACTCTAAAATAGTACAATAAACAAGTTATTTTACAGAGGCACGACAGTGCCAGATGCATTCTTCATTACTTCACAATGAAGTATGGAAGACATGTTTTGCTGAAAAAAGAAACTAAATTTCATATATCTTTCTTCGCATAGCAGACTGGAACTGACTAGAATTTGTGCCCAAAATGTCTAATTGCTGATATGATGCAAAACATAAGCTGTTGAACAATAGCGAAGACAGTAATCAGGCTAGCATATGCAGTAGTGATCAGAAAATTCTCTGCTACATAGTACAAAAATAATAAGTGGATCAACTGAGTAGTAAGAGGCTTATGTATTACATCAATTAAATTGGGAGCACAAATTATGCATACATAACTTATGCAACTCACACACACAGGAGATCACTCCAGAAGTACTTGAAACAGATCTATAAATTACATAGAATAAATTGGGAAAATAATTTATGCATAGATAACTTATGCATTTTATTCAACTTGCCACATCCGGTTCAGTAATTTGACTTTCTCCTCTTCGTCCCACTCGTATCGTTGTGTCACCATGGCCCAGTCCCAACGCCCCATGTCCTGAACATGCCCTTTTTTGTACAAAGAAACAAGTTGCAACGATGTCGATACTTCTGTAACAAAGTCAACAAAGTAAATCTGTCTTTCTGTTCCCTCAAAACCAACCATTACCAACTCCTTAAGCTGATTATGGCAGAACTTAGGGGATTGCCATGCAATGTCATCACAAGGATCCTCTTCCCAAGGGCTAATATGGATGTGAAGGCTCTCAAGGCATGGCGACGCCTCGATGAGGAGGCGGGGCCAAGAGACATCCCAGGATGAAGGCACATCAGCAATCAGGAGCCTCCTGAGTTTAGGTAACAACAACGCAGGGCTCCATGGCTTAAACCATCTATCATATCCAGTGAAGCGGACAACAAGATTGGTTATTCCTGAGCTGCCTCCAAGATATCGATCAAGGTCCCAATTTGGTGTAAAGCGAATGGTACGGCTTTTTAAGATGCCATGGCATTTGGTAAGACTGAAATGTCTGAGGTATGGGAAGGAGCTCAGCCTGTAAATCACTGTAGTGTCAACAATAGCCATGCTCTCAAGCATTGGGAGAGTGTGCAGCTTGAACCATCCAAATGAGCAATCCTCCATGATAAGCTGCTTGATCTCTGATCTAGGAGCATCGACCACTACAACGCCTTGGTTGAGCATGCAGGACTTGAGATGCAATGATTGTAGCTGAGGGCACAAGGTGAAAATAGATTCATAGGCTGAGGTTGGAGTGGACTTGGGCAAATCTTGCAAAACCAGACTAGTGAGTGCATGGAATCCCTTCAATGGCGGAAAATAGCAGGCTGTGAGCTTCAAACTTCTCAGTCGAGAATTTTGCGAATTATTGCAGAGGCCATGGTGCAAGCGGTATAGTCTTACCGCCTATGACCGGAAGGTCCCGGGTTCGAGTCGCGGTCTCATCGCATTGCACAAGAGAGGGTAAGGGCCTGTTCGGCTGGTATTAAAGCCGGCTGAAGCTGATTTTTTGTGAGAGAAAAATACTGTAGATTATAGCTGATAAGCCGGCTGATAAGTTCAAGCAAACAGGCCGTGGCTGACACCCTTCCTCAGACCCCGCACAGAGCGAGAGCTCTCTGCGCTGGGTACGCCCTTTTATTGCAGAGGCCATGGTGAGAGAAACTGTGAGCATCCTATCACCGGAACATACTCTTAGCTGAAACCTCCAGATCCTCGGCTCCCCATGAATCAACAGCCTTGGTTATCAATCTATTGATGCCACTTGAACACTGGGTAGCAAAGAACTCAAGCCTCAGCTTGCGGACACTCCGGAGACCTAGAGCACCTCTGTCGTGATCATCATCCGCGTCAAGGAAGTTTTTGATGGACGCGGCCATAGTGCGCATGGCACGGCGCTGATAACGCTCGATGCTGTCGCAAATCGCCTTGAGATTGACTTGGAGACCATAAGTATAACGAGCGCCTTCGCGGTGGACACGAATGCAACGGTGGTACCGCGGCGGGAGTATGTCACTGACCCTGAAATCAAGGGAGTCGAGACCACGTGGGAGGCAGGCCCAGCGCTTCGAGAGGGTCGCGGTGGCTAGCACAGTGCGGGTGTCGAGGCGGCGCAAGATGAGGAGCAGTATGTCGGCGGTGAGGGCGCTGAGGCGGTCTTCACTGCAGGACGCGCGCAGCCCGCGCCGCCGGCACCAACCCTGTCTAGAAATGGCAGAGCCGAGCCGACGGCGGTGAATCGGGCGGACAGCGGCGGTGGCGCGCTTATCTGGTGGCCCGGGCTTGCGGGTGCAGCTAAATGGAGGCGCCCGCATCAGAAATTATGGCGCGCGGGACCCGACCGCGGGTGCAGACGATTGGTGGTGGCAGGGGTGACCGGCGACGGACTCTCTCGGTTGGATTGGGCTGCGAGGCACCAGCGTCAGCTGTGGTCGCTGGTCGGAGCAAATCCTGGGATAAGGCAGTGGAAGGCGGAAGACTGCGGCAGAGGATGGTCGCAGAAGCGGATCCCGTAGGTGATCTCAGCGGCGATAGCAGGAGGAGATGAAGGAGCGGGCTCGACGATGAAGCGGCTGCAGGCAAATATAGACACGGCACACGGGATGGGAGGAGGCCGGCGGCGGATTCTGATCCGTAACAGGGAAGTGGAAAACAGATTTTTTGCGGGCGGGGTGGGGTAGAAGCGGAAATCATCCGTCCACGCTCGCTCGGACGGGAGCCGCGCGCCGAACGGCAAAGTGCATACTGCGTGTGAAAAGACAAAATGCAGACGTTCAAATATGTTATTAATTTTTTTTGAGCATCTTAATGACTTCAAATGAAAACAACGAACGCGTAGCCCATAATGAGCACAGTATGCAGTTCGTAGGAGACCTTATCATTTAGACTGGGCAGGTTGTCGCCGTTTAAATGAAAAGTATTTGGGTTTGCCTACTGAGGTAAGCTTTCCAGTATCCTAAGGATAGAGTTTGGAATAAAGTTTAGAGTTGGATAGAACAAACTCTGTCTGCTGGAGGGAAGGAAGTTTTAATAAAAGCTGTTGCCCAAGCAATTCCTACCTATACCATGGGGTGCTTCCGATTGCCTAAGGGATTATGTGAACATTTAAATTCTTTGTTGTTAAAATTTTGGTGGGGAAGCGATAGAGGTAAAAGGAAAACAAATTGGGTAGCATGGGAGAAGTTGGTCCAACCTAAGTATATGGGGGAAATGGGATTTAGAGATTTAGAAATTTTCAATTTGGCCCTGTTAGCTCACCAGGCTTGGCGCATTCTTATTAATCCTGAATCTTTATGCTCACAATTGTTAAAGGCTATTTATTTCCCCTCAGGTGATCTTCTTAGTGCGCATATTGGTTCCAAGCCATCTAAGACATGGAGAGCAATATGTGATGGAATTGATGTGTTGAAACAAGGACTGATTAAGCGCATCGGAGATGGTGAAACCACTCTAATATGGACTTGCAATTGGATACCAAGAACTGGAATGTTCAGACCTATAGCCTCTAAAGTTCCTGAGCCTCCGGTGCTAGTGAGTGAGCTGATTGATCACACTTCTATGACATGGAAAGTTGAGTTGTAAGGAATTGTTTCTTTGATTTAGACAGTGATGTAATCCTCCAAATTCCACTCAGCATGAGGAAACAAGAAGATTGTTGGGCATGGCATCATGAAAGAAATGGTTTATTTACTGTTTGTTCTGCATATAGGATGTTGATTGAAACAAAGAAAAATAGAGAAGACTACTTTGAAAGTTGTGGCAATTGTTCTGATGTGCAAAGAATTCAGAATGAATGGAAACATCTCTAGAGGATGAAGATGCCATCAAAAACCAAAGTTTTTTGTTGGCGCTTGGCACATAACTCATTGCCTACTGGGAGTGTATTGAAGAATAAGAACCTAGCAAACACATCAAATTGCAAGATTTGTGGGTGAAAGCCCTAGTTTGGTTTTATATAATTGATGAAACCTATGGACTAATCCTAAATGCTAAGTGTGTAGACAAGAGAGGACAGTCTATTCCAAGTGGTGGAGCAAGAGGATGATCATGGTGGATGGTGATGACCAAAAGATGATCAAGTGCTCAACTTGGAAAAGAAGAAAGAGAAAACAAAACCCTATGGAGATCAAGACAAAGGTATTGGTTAGAGTTTTGGTTTTGGTGATCAAGACACTATAAAGAGTGTGATCATATTTAGGACCGATAGTCGTACTATAAAGAGGAGAAATCTTTGGCTAAATGGTTTATCAAGTGCCACTAGGTGACAAGATTCTTGCATATCCATTTAGGAATCTAGTGTGATAACCTTGACCATTGTAAGATGCTTTGAAAATTGCTAACACACGTGCACACAAGTTCTACACATTGTGGTTAGCAAGTTGGAAGCAAGGGTGAACCGATTGAGGAAATAGAAAAAGAAAAGAAGGAGAAGGCACGTGACTAGACTCACCCCGGGCGTGTCCGGTCATTTTTATCCAAGTTGGCAGACTTGGCCGAGGGCGTGGTGTAGCGATCGGACGTAGCGACCTGACGCTGAGGATGCATCCGGTCATGCTATGTCCAGAGGAGGCGCAGAGTGTAGTGGCGATCAGACGCAGGTGTGCGCGCGTGACCGGACGCGCAGGGGCTGTGTCAGGATCACGCTGACATACGTTGTTGTTAGCATAGCGGAGGCATGGCGCTTGAGACAGAAAGGTTTGATTAGAGAAATCCTTCTCTGGTTGCTCTCTGTAAATGATCGGACTCTACGTGGTGGCGAGTCCGGTCGTTCATTAATAGCACTGGCTTTGAGTTTTGACCGTTGAAGATCAACGCGCGGTATTCAAAGGTGGTGACACGTGGACGGCGATGGGTGACAGGACGCTGGGTGTGTGTGTCCGGCCATTCTCCATCTGCGTGACCGGTTGGTCCGAGAAGACAGGCAGTGAGGGGGCCAATAGCTCTTTCGTGGTTGGCTACCTATTTAAAGGTCTTGGCCGGCCCTAGGCTCACTCTCTTGGCACTTTGACATACTTGACATCCTTGTGAGCCTAAATAAACATCTTTCACTCATCTCCATCATTGATTCATCATTATAGTGAGATTGGAAGTGATTCTGAGTGCATTTGTTTGAGTGATTGCATGTAGCGGCACTTGGGTGTAACACTCTAGGTGTTAAGCATGCATTTAGCATTGGCATTGCATGAGCACAAACATCATTGATCATTCTTGAGCATGAGTATCTCAAATATTATCTCTATGTTTGCTTATATTGCATGTGTTGTCACTAAAATGCTTTACATATGCTAGGGTTTGCATGTAACCAATGTATAAAAATGTTATGGGACCTTAGGAGTACCTTAAATATGTTTAGAATGTCATATGGAACAACTTTGGTATTCATGACTTGGACCAATTTGGCCTCTAAGTCATGGTTATAGTGTAACTCATCATTTTCAAGTTGTATGTTTGACCTAAGTTGAACTATAGCCTAGAGTGTGAAAGGATTAAGATGCCCAAGAGGGGGGGGGGGGAATTGGGCTAATTCTAATTTTTTTGCAATAATTAAACCCTACACTTAGCCCACTTCACCCCTTGTGTCTAGAAAGTGATTCTATTGATCTACCGCACAAAAGTTTAGCACCCTAAGTTCCAATCCTACTCTAGCATGACAATTCTAAGAATGTAAAGACAAGAATTGAATTGCTCAAATGTAAATGCTTAAAGTAAAGAGAAGGAACGCGGTGATATTTTGCCGAGGTATCGGAGAGTCGCCACTCCCCACTAGTCCTTGTTGGAGCACCCGCGCAAGGGTGTAGCTCCCCCTTGATCCGTGCAAGGATCAAGTGCTCTCTATGGGTTGATTCTTCGACACTCCATCGTTGTGAATCACCCACAACCGCTCACAACTGAGTTGGGTCATCCACAAGCTCCGCTGGATGATCACCAAACTCTCAATCACCACCAAGCTGTCTAGGTGATGGCGATCACAAAGAGTAACAAGCAAGAACTCTCACTTGACCACAACAAGCCTAATGAGAAAGGTGGATACACACTTGCTACTCTCTTTTCACTAATGAGGCCTTAATCTTGGATTCTCAAATCTCAATCATCTCACTAGGCTCTTGCTCTCCTTGGCACTCTTAGGGGTCTTTCTTAGCTATTGAAATGGGCAAGAGTACTCCCTTGAATGAATAGAGGAAGTATTTATACCCCCTCATTCAAAACAAACCATTATGTGCCTGAGTCAGCACTCTATGGGGTGACAGACGACGCTCGGTCAAGGTGGCCGGGACGCTCGATCGATTTCTCCCGCCATAGAGCCATTAAGTTGTGACATGACTCTCGACCCGGCGTCCGATCGCAAAAAAGCGCTCTCTAGAACCTTCATCGATGTTGACGAGGACCGCTGGAGCCTAAGAGTCCGGTCACTTTCATTATTCGGCGTATGGTCAATAACAGAACTTGACCAGTCGTCGGTCAAGATCGGCCGGACGTGTCCGATCAGGATTCTCCCTCTCTAGAACCTTACTAGAGTTGACCAGACTCTGGCACCCAGCGTCCGGTCACATTTCACTCAGCGTCCAATCGCATCCAGACGACTTCACTTGATCAAATGAACTGACCAGACTCTACTGCCAGCGTTCGGTCACACCAGGACCAGCGTCCGGTCAACATTTGACCCTCCATTCACTTCCAACTCGAAATCATATGTGAATAAAGTTTGCTCAAATTGATCTTAGGGCTACTTTGGAGCTACCTAGTGCTAGATTTGACAAGTGTGCACCACACCTAACCCATTAGACTCACCTAGGTCAAGCTACTAGTTCATACCCCCCTTAATAGTATGGCCAAAGGAAAAACAAAGTCCTAAACTACTCTAAGTGTCTCTTCAACACCAAACGACACTTAGAACTAGTCCATCCTTAACATTGTCGTCCATCCTTTGAAAATCTAAACGAATTCCATCATAGGGGAATGACAACCATGATTGACCAATCAATTGCCATTACCATGACCTAACTTAATTGCCTATGCAAAACACACGTTAGTCATAGTAATCTTGTATTGTCATTAATCACCGAAACTCAATTAGGGGCCTAGATGGTTTCAATCTCCCTCTTTGGTGATTGATGACAATACAACCTCGAGTATGTAAAAGAGATGAGGTTTTCAATATGCTTGGTTCATATAAGCTTTTGACAATAAGAACAAAAGAGTTAGGCAAGCTTATATGACCCAAGCCAACATGATGTACTCAACAGATATGAAATAAGCATGAGTACAAGAAATAAAGCTCATTTGCATCGAAGTAAATTACGGAAGCAAAGCAAAT